AACTGATATTCTAGTAAGTAAAAGATTTCTTAGTTCTCTGAGCTCTTCTAACAAATAAATGAAGCCAGAGGAGGGGGACCTGGGTACCTCCAAATCTATAGCTAGTCATCCAAAAGCACAGGTCACAATCTAGACTTTCAATTGGCATCTGAAATGAGAGTGGAAGGATAGTCTTTTAGGACAGAGCCCTTAACTGTGGAATCTGATGCTATGTTCAGGTAGATATTGTCAGAATTGAGTTAATTGCTTGGTGGTGTTAGTGAAAAAACACACATTGGACCCACATAGTTACAATTTCTGATGTTCTTTCTAACTGAGGATCCAAGTTCCATTTGGTGTCATTTTTCTTCCACCCAAAGAACTTGCTTCTTAGATTTTTATTTGTAATACAGGTTTACTTGTAATGAATTCTCTCAGCTTTTGTTTATATGGAAATATTTTTATGTCACCTTAATTTATGAATTGTGTTTCTACTTGATGTAAATTCTAGAGTGAACAATAGTTTTTCTTCACTTTAAAGCTGTCCCATTTTCTTCTGGCTTGGTAATGAGAAGTCATTAGAATTTCTTACTGTTGTTCCCTTATATGTTATGTGTCTTTTTAATGTGGCTGTATTATTTTTTATTTTCAGCAATTTGATTATGATACCTAGGTATAGTATTGTCTAATAATTTTGTATTGTGTGCTAGACGTTGTGAATGATACATTGTTGAGGGTCTGAAGTTTGCTGTCTTCCTTTAAAAAGTATTGAGTTTTATTCTGGCAGGCAGTTGATTTACTGGTAGATTAGTTTTCTCCTATTGAGATTTGTTTCTAGGATTTCTAAGGTTGGTTCTAAAGCAGGCCTTACTAAAGGGCTAGAGCCTTGAGGCTTAGTTCAGATCTCAACTGATGCCCAAGATGTTCAGAGAAATCTCCTCACTCTAGCTGAGACCCCAGAGCCGAGTGCCTCTCAGCTCCGGGAGATCTCCAGAATCCCCTCTCAACTTACAGGCCCCAAGTAGCTGTTGTTTCTCAACTTTTGTGGCAAAGGGATGCTTTAAACACATTTTTTGAGCTCCCTCTTTTCTGACACAAATTCCAGGTACCTCAGCTGTCCTGAACTCCACTCCCCATTTGCTGTGCCCAACAAGCTCCATGCTTTCTGTTTGGGAGTCATATTTTCTTCTACCTTACTTAGAAAGTACCTTCAGCAAGAAATACGTGGTAAATGTGGGTTTCACCACCTTGTTTCCCTTCTCTCAAGAATAACAATATTTGTAGTAGTTTGTCTAATGTCTGAAAATAGTTATTTCATATATTTTCCCATTTCATATTGTTTATAACAGGAGGATAAATCTAATACAGTTACTCTGTTAACGCTGAATCTGGAAGTTGGCCTGCCTCTGTAACTTGTTTTTAAATTTTTAATGTAATTTCTATAGATGATTGTACCTCCATTTCCTACTATGTCCAATACATTAAAATTACCTTCTTTTGTTTGTCTATCTCTGAGTTTTCTGTCTGTGGATTATAAAACCAAGACAAATGCAGACCCTGAAATAAAAATTGGATGAGAGAATACTGCTTGAAATATAAGGTTTATTAATTGTCCAAAAGACATGAAATAACAAATGTGACAAGGATGTGAAGAAATGGGAACCCTTCTACATTGTTGGTGGGAATTTAAATTGGTGCAACCATAGTGGAAAGCAATATGGAGTTCCTCAAAAAACTAAAAATAGAAGTACCATTTGACCCAGGAATTCCACTCCTAGGAATTTACCCAAAGAAAACAAACACCCTGATTTGAAAAGACATATGCACACTTATGTTTATCATTGCACTATTTGCAATAGCCGAGATATGGAAGCAACTTAAGTGTCCATCAATAGATGAATGGATAAAGAAGTTGTACATATGCACAATGGAATATTATTCAGCCATAAAAAGAAAAGAAATTGGATAACCTAGAAGAAATGGACAACATTCTAGAAAAATACAACATTCCAAGGTGGACCCAGGAAGAAATAGAAAATCTGAATAGACCAATTACCAGCAAGGAAATTGAATTGGTAACCAAAAAAAATACCTAAGAACAAAACACCTGGACCAGATGCCTTCACTGCTGATTTTATCAAATGGGTATTATACCCATCCTCCTTAAAATTTTCCAAAAAGTAGAAGAGGAGGGAATACTCCCAAACTCATTCCACAAGACCAGTATTACTCTAATATCAAAAGCAGACAAAGACACCACAAAAAAATAAAATTAAAGACCAATATCCCTGGATGAACATAGATACAAAAATACTCAACAAAATATTAGCAAACCGAATTCAAAAATACATCAAAAGATCATCCATCTTGATTAAGTAGGAATTTTTCCAGGGATGCAAGGATAGTACAATATTCGAGAATACATCAATATCATCCACCACATCAACAAAAAGGACAAAAACCACATGTTCATATCCATAGATGCTGAAAGAGCATTCGACAAAATTCAGCATCCATTCATGATAAAAACTCTTCACAAAATGGGCATAGAGGACAAGTACCTCAACATAATAAAAGCCATATATGACAAACCCATAGCAAACATCATTCTTAACAGCAAAAAACTGAAAGCTTTTCCCTTAAGATCGGGAACAGGACAAGATGTCCACTCTCCCCACTTTTATTCAACATAGTTCTGGAGGTCCTAGCCATGGCAATCAGACAACACAAAGAAATAAAAGGCATCCAGATTAGTAAGGAAGAAGTTAAACTGTCACTGTTTGCAGATGACATGATATTGTACATAAAAAACCCTAAACAATCTATCCCAAAACTACTAGAACAAATAACTGAATTGAGCAAAGTAGCAGGATACAAAATCAATACACAGAAATCTGTTGCATTCCTAAATACTAATGATGAACTAGAAGAAAGAGAAATCAGGAAAACTATTCCATTCACAACTGCATCAAAAAGAATAAAATACCTAGAAATAAACCTAAACAAGGAGGTGGAAGACCTATACCCTGAAAACGATAAGACACTCATAAGAGAAATTAAAGAAGCACCAGTAAATGGAAATACATCTCATGCTCATGGATAGGAAGAATTAGTATTGTCAAAATGGCCATCCTGCCTGAAACAATCTATAAATTCAACGGAATCCCTATCAAAATACCAACAGCATTCTAGAACTAGAGCAAATAGTTCTAAAATTCATATGGAACCACAAAAGACCCTGAATAGCCAAAGCAATTCTGGGAAGGAAGAAGAAAGCTGGGGGTATTACTCTCCCTGACTTCAAGCTCTACTACAAAGCCTCAGTAATCAAGACAAGTTGGTACTGACACAAGAACAAACTCATAGATCAATGGAACAAAATAGAATCCAGATATAAATCCAAACATATACGGTCAATTAATATATGATAAAAGAGCCATGGACAATGGGGAAATGACAGCCTCTTCAACAGCTGGTGTTGGCAAAACTGGACCACTACATGCAAGAGAATGAAACTGGATTATTGTCTAACCCCTGACACAAAAGTAAACTCAATGGATCAAAGACCTGAATGTAATTCATGAAACCATAAAACTCTTAAAAGACACCATAGGCAAAAATCTCTTGAACATAAACATGAGTGACTTTTTTCTGAACACATCTCCTTAGGAAAGGGAAACAAAAGTAAAATTTAACAAATGGGACTACATCATGCTAAAAAGCTTCTGTACAGCAAAGGACACAAAAAGGCATCCTACAGTATGGGAGAATATATTTGTAAATGACATATCCAACAAGGGGTTAACATCCAAATAATATAAAGAACTCACATGCCTCAACACCCAAAAAGCAAATAACCCTATTAAAAAATGGACAGAGGATATGAGCAGACACTTCTCCAAAGAAGAAATTCAGATGCCCCACAGGCATATGAAAAGATGCTCCACCTTGCTAATTATCAGGGAGATGAAAATTAAAATGAGATACCACCTCACACAAGTTAGAATGGCCAATATCCAAAAGACAAGGAACAACAAATGCTGGCGAGGATGCGGAGAAAGGGGAATCCTCCTANTAAGAATGCAGCAGCCCAGTTTGAAAAAGACATATGCACCCCTATGTTTATCACAGCACTATTTACAATAGCCAAGAAATGGAAGCAACCTAAGTGTCCATCAGTAGATGAATGGATAAAGAAGATATGATACATATACACAATGGAATATTATTCAGCCATTAGAAGAAAACAAATCCTACCATTTGCAACAACATGGGTCAAGCTAGAGGGTATTAAGCTCAGTGAAATAAGTCAGGCAAAGAAAGACAAGTACCAAATGATTTCACTTATCTGTGGAGCATAAGAACAAAGCAAAACCTGAAGAAACAAAACAGCAGCAGACAGACTCCAAGAAGGGACTAGCAGTTACTAAAGTGGAGGGGGTACAGGAGGGCAGGTGGGGTGGGAGGATAACGGCATTGAGGGACATTAAGATTGGTACACATGGTGGGGGAGAGTCATGGGGAAGACAGTGTAGCACAGAAAAGACAAGTAGTGACTCTGTGTCATCTTGCTATGCTGATGTGCAGTGACTGAGGCCGGGTGTGTGGGTGGAACTCGGTAATATCGGTGAGTGTAGCAACCACAATGTTACTCATGTGAAACCTTCATAAGATTGTATATCAATGATATCAATAAAAAAAAGAAACAGAAAGAACAAAATAGCAGTAGAATCAAAGATACAGAGAAGTGTATTACCAAGTGGTTACCAAGGGGGAGTGGTTTAGATGGGGGGATGGGAAAGGGGATAAAAGGATACAATAATTCACAATCACAATATAAGTTGGTCACAGGGACGGTAGTACAGCATGGAGAATACAGTTAATGATTCTGTAACATCTTACTACGTTGATGTAGGAAACTACGCTGATGTAGGAAACTTAGTACGTTGATACAAGGAAACTATTATTTCCTTGAAATAATAGTTGTGATGGCTAACTTCCTCTTTCTGTTCTCCATACAGAGAAATGTTCTTTACTACCATGGAAAGCCACCTTCTGCGCTGCAAAGTGTTGGAAATCATATTCCTCCACAGCTGCGAGACACCCACTCGCCTGCCCTTGTCTCTGGCACAGGCACTCTACTTTCTGAACAATTCCACATCGCTGCTCAAGTGTCAGGTACATTTTTCCCTGCTCCAGTTCCAGTCCTAGAACACCTTTCCCCTACTCTTCGAGCACTGTATAAAAGTGACTTGAAAGAAAAGTGTACAAAGCCTTTAACTGAGGAAGGCATTTACTACCAATTGTTTTTACTATCTCTGCAGTCAGATAAAACCCATTGGCAGACATGGGATGAACTGGTTGAGCATCTGCAGTTTCTGTTATCCAGTTACCAACATGTTTTAAGAGGTAAGGAACACTTGTTCACAATAAGATGGTATGGGAGTCTCACGTGGACATGATTATGAATAAAGTTACATAGGGTATTGTAATTTGTTAGCTTAAGTGAAACATTGTTCCTTGGTTGTAAGTCAGGAAGAAGGAATTAATGCTATGAAACTGGAATCACTGCTATGAAATAAAAGAATTCACACATTTCTGTTACACCTGATATGGGCTCACAATTATTAGGTTGTATAGGTCATCAAGTCATTGTGACATGCAGAGTATCCAGTAGTGACCTGAGCAGCCCTGGCATCTCACACTAGCCCATCACTGCAATGCCTTTGGTGGATCCATTGCTCACTGACTATGGACATTGTAAACATCCATCAATATAATGCAAACACGGAGAAAATAAGTGGCAAGGTGAAAGTGTACATTTTGCAAATGATCTAAGAAACCCTAAAGTCAGTGAAAGTAGATCTTTTCAAGTCACAGGCAAAGCCAGTGATCAATGAAGATCCAGGAGAGTTAGACTAATTAACAATTGGGGCAAATATTGGCCCGAATAATGATATAATAGCTGCTTCAAGTGAGAATAATTTTATTATACAAGGGTTAAAGGGACCCTTGGGAACACTGATATGATTATTAATTACAAGAGGAAAGATAGTAACTTTAAAGGAGAGAAAACTGGTGTTCCTCTTGATGGATACCCTGAGAAGGATACCTCACCACTTAGGTAGTGTTCTTGCCAAAAATTCATGGCCCAAATCTAATCACATGGAAGCACCAGACAAACCCAGATTGAGGGATCTTGTACAAAATAATTGTTGGCCTGTACTCTTCAAAAGTGCCAATGTCTTAATAACAAAGAAACACTGAGGAACTGGTCTGTATTCAAAAGAAACTAAAGCATATGAATACTAGATAGAAAACATGATCCTGGATGGGATCCCAAACCAGGAATAAAGAAGCTGTAAAGTATATTATTGGGACAATTGGTGAAATTTAAATTGATTTAATAGATTTAATATTCTATTAATATTAAATGTCCTATTTTTCCTTTTTTTTTTATTAAGGTATGATTGATATGCACTCTTATAAAGGTTTCACATGAAAAAACAATGTGGTTACTACATTCACCCATATTATCAAGTCCCCACCCATACCCCAATGCACTCACTGTCCATCAGTGCAGCAAGATGCCACAGATCCACTATGCACCTTCTCTGTGCTACACTGTTCTCCCTGTGATCCCCCACACCATGTGTACTAAACATAATACCCCTCAATCCCCTTCTCCCTCCCTCCCCACCTGCCCTCCCACACCCCTCCCCTTTGGTAACCACTAGTTCATTCTTGGAGTCTCTGAGTCTGCTCCTATTTTGTTCCTTCAGTTTTGCTTCACTGTTATACTCCACAAATGAGGGAAATCATTCGGCATTTGTCTTTCTCCACCTGGCTTATTTCACTGAGCATAAAGTCCTCCAGCTCCATCCATGGTAGAATTTGTTTCCTTCTT